AACACATAAACAACATCAAGAAATACGCTCATGAATCATCATATACATCATCAACAATGCCACCCTTATTTCGCCGCATGCACATAACAATGAAATGTTTCCTTTATCGTCACATGTGCATATCGCCACCCTTATTATGCCACAAGAACATCAACAGTGAAATTTCACCCTTATACTCCACACAATATCATCAGTGAAATTACAACCGATTACTCCACAAAACATCAACAGTGAAATTCTACCCTTATACTCAACACAACAACAATCAACTTGCACAACATGTCCACATGTGCCACGATATCACAAAACAATAATACCAAATTTTCATCGAGATATACGTTCACAACTTATCAATAAAGTGCACAAGGACATGCCAACAACATAAAAGTGTGGAGGGGTATTTAACAAATAAAGCATGACAATTGCTAAGTCATATTTAGCGATCATGATCATATAATCACAAGGTTGTTTAAGAATGTTTCATATAAGGTACATTATCAAATTAAGTCATATGAATATCCTAAGGTCCAATTCGGTCATAAAACACACATAGCACCCGTGTACACGCTTGTCACCTCGTATACATGTTGTTTTTCACATAACACGAATAAATAATTAAGGCTAAATCCTAGGGCTATTCTCCTACACAAGATTAGACAAAATACTTACCTAAAACAATCCAAATCAATACTCTAACAAGCCTTAGACTCTCGAATCGGCCTCTAAACCGGTGGAATCTAGCAAAAAATAACTCAATAATATCAAACACGACTAAAGAAATCGATTTCAATAAGCTCCAATCTTTATCAAAAATAAAAAAGGCAACCAAAAAATAAACCTGGGCCCGCCTCCCGGAACCCGACAAAAGTCACAAATTTCGAACACCCATTCGAGTACGAGTCTAATTGTATAAGTTTCATCCAAATCTGACTCCGAATCGAGGTTCAAATCCATATTTTTTGTTTTAGAAATGTTTTTCCAAACTCCCTAATTTTCTTCACTTTGATTCATCAATAAAATGTAAAAATCAGTCATGGAACCATGAATAATAATCAAATTCCAGTCAAGAATACTTACCCCAATCCAAATCGTAAAAATCCCCTCCAAAATTGCCAAATCCAAGATCTCAATCTCAAAATGTGATAAAATAACTTAAACCCTATGATATCTTAAGTATGCCCAGCACTTTCGCTTCTACGACTAAAATAATTGCTTCTACGGCGTCGCTTTTGTGATAAAAGTTCGCTTCTGCGAGTTTCACTAAGCTACCGACCATTCGCTTCTGCGGAGTCGCTTCTGCGGTCAAGGATGCACATCTGAGCCATCACATTTGCGCAAGGACCTTCACATCTGCGAACCAAGATGCCTCCCCCTCCGTATCTGTGACCAGTCGTCTGCATCTGCGGACTCGCAACTGCGGACCAAACCTCGTTGGTGCGAAAACATCAAAACAGGAATGCCAAACCATTTGAAACTCACCCGAGGCACTGAGGACCCCGTCTAATCACACTCACCGATCCCAAAACATAACACAGACCTACTCGAGGCCTCAAATCACACAATATAACATCAAACCACGAATCACACCTCAATCCAAGCTTAATGAACTAATCCACAATTTCGAATTTCAAAACTTACGTGGAACATGCCTAAACAACTCAGAATGCTCCCAGATTTTGCACACAAGTGATAAATAACTATACGAACATATTCCAAGGTTCAGAATTCCTATGGACACCCATAACCACAAAGTCAACTATGGGTTAAACCTATGAACTTTTAAATCTTCAAATTGCCAACATTTGCCAATTAGAACCAAATCAACCTAGGAACCTCCAAATATGGGCATACGCCTACGTCCAAATCTACCATCCGAACCTAACAGAACTATCAAAACTCTTATTTAAGATCAAATACACAAAAGCCAAACTTGGTCAATATTTCCAACTTAAGCTTCTAAACTAAGAACTAAGTGTTCCAATTCAATCCATAACCTCCCTGAAATCAAACCAATCATCCATGCAAGCTACACAACAACAAAGAAGCATACGAAAAGTATCAAATAGGGGGAACGGGGCTCGCCGACTGGGTCATTACATCGTTATGAAATTTTCATAGTCAAAATCTCGTAAATATGCTGTCACAATAACAAACACATAGCAGGGAAACCATCTGAAAGCATAAACAACATCTTAAAAATGGTCAAAGCATAGCCAAATACACGCTCATCTTTCAAATACAAAAAATCAAAACACTATCAAAAAAAATTATGCAAGCTTTCAAATTATAATTTTAGAAAAACAAATAATCAAAAGGTTAAAGTCTCACATACCTGCAAATCAATCCTAGCATAAAGCTCTCTATCGTATACCATTGTTATTCAATCGAACACTTTCAACCTATATAAAATACGCAATGACAGGGTCAATTACCCATGTAGGAATTACTTTTATATTTTTAGACATAGTTGTATACGGTCAAAATCGGGCTTGCCTCTTTTTATGATTAATCGAGATCGGGGCATGACGGGCCAGGGTTCGACCCCATGCCATACCGGACCGAGACACGAAGTAGATAGACAAGCTCGTGACTCAAGGACCGATCGAGATCGAAACCAACCAAGATCGAGACCGAGCAGGGCATAGATCGAGCAAGACCGAGGGGAGCCTGCCGAGTCTAATAACGAAAACCCGAGATATCCGCGATCGGGGAAGGATCACGGCGAAAATCTCGGCACGTATCAAGAAGAAGCCGATTAATCAGCTAATCATGGGATTTTTTTACCATATTTAGGATTGTATTAAAGGTAGGACTCCCCTACTATATAAAGGGAGTATGATTATTTGTAAAGGAGATCGCATTCACGTTTCGTAAAGCAATATATTATCTTCTTCTTAAGATCTCAGTACTATGTTATTCTGTTCATACTTTCCAGTGAAATACTTGTTTGATTCGAAGGCGACCTAGCTCGAGGATCAAAGTTATACGCCTATTTTGGTTTGCTTTATTTCTATTTGCAGTTAATTTCAATAACAATATTGCATTTTTCTTAGTTTGTGGCAAGTAAAATCACATGTCCTTAAAACCACAGTATAAATTCAATTGTTATCCGTTTTCAGGGTAAACAATTTGGTGCCCCCGTGAGGCTAAAGATAATAGTGGTTGCCTGGTATAAATTTCGGTAACACATATTATTTTACGCTTGTTCTTTGAAGTGTATTTGATTATAGGATTAAAAATATCAAACTCTCAATCAGCACCTCAACACATTGACAATGATCTCAGCCACCATGGCGAAAATGAAGAACATTGCACCAGGAAATGTTGTGCCCCCTGCTGGCCTCGATGGAGTTTCGGCTGTAGATCCAATCGATGTTAGTTCGCATGTAGGCATCAACAGAAATCTGGCCGTCGTTCCCGAAAGCAGCGTTCATGGGGGTACCCGATCAGCTACTCAGATGCACATGGCGATGAAGATGGCGGGATCAGACTGCGGGTAATCTTTTTTAAATGTTACAAGCCCAACAAGCGGCAATAGCTCAGCTCCAAAATCAAAACCACATGCCAAGTAGAGTCGAACTCGAGCCATCCCAAGAAATTATACACAAGGTCAAATCGGCTTCGGGAAAATCGAATGAGAAGTAATCGGATTCCAATCTTGCTATTATAAAGATGCTCGAAGAACTGACAAAGCGAATCGAGACAGGGGAAAAGAAGATCGAGGAAAACGATAAGAAGGTGGAAACCTATAACTCCAGGGTCGATCAATCCCGGGGGCACCACCGATATTGAAAGGACTAGATTCTAAAATGTTTGTACAAAAACCTTTCCCCCCAAGTGGGGCTCCGAAGCCAATCCCTAAGAAGTTTCGTATGCCTGAGATTCCTAAGTATAATGGGACGACTGATCCAAATGAACACGTCACCTCATACACGTGCTCCATCAAAGAAATGACTTGGAAGATGACGAGATTGAATCCGTATTGCTGAAGAAATTCGGGGAGACTCTATCGAAGGGTGCTATGATATGGTATCATAATTTACCGCCTAATTCTATTGACTCATTTTATATGCTTGAAGATTCTTTTGTAAAGGCACACGCCAGAACCATTAAGGTCGCAACAAGAAAGTCAGACCTTTTCAAGGTAAGGCAAAAGGACAACAAGATGCTTAGAGAATTCGTATCTCGATTCCAAGTGGAACGAATGGATTTTCCTCCAGTCGCCGACGATTGGGCTGTTCAAGCTTTCACTCAAGGTCTTAATGTTTGGAGTTCCATAGCTTCACAGCAGTTGAAGTAGAATTTGATCGAGTATCCAGCTGTCACTTGGGTCGATGTACATAATCGATATCGGTCGAAGATCAGGGTAGAGGATGATCAACCGGTGGCTCCTTCTGGGTCCGTTTATCCTAACAAACCCATGGATAGAATCAAGAGGGATACCGATCGAAAACCAAGGTTGAATAGAGATCGATATCAACCACATAATGGAGACCGTAGAGGTAGCGGATCTGGACGAAACCTTATACGGAATGAGAGGAGGAATGATCAAGGTCAAAGTTCACGGGGACTCATGAACAAGAATGGTTGAGACAGGGGTGTTGGGTCGAAAGAAGCACCATGATTGTCAGAATATAAATTCAATGTAGATGTATCCGCCATCGTATCAGCTATCAAACATATTAAAGATACTAGATGGCCTCGACCTTTGCAGACCGATCCAACCCAAAGAAATCACAATCACAATCAAGTGTGTAAGTATCATGGTACCCATCGCCATAAAATAGATGATTGCAGACAGCTAAGAGATAAAGTAGCCCACTTGTTCAACGAGGGGAACCTTTGGGAATTCTTAAGCGATCGGGCCAAGAATCACTTCAAACAGAGACTCCAGTAGACAGAACGAGCAAGAAAAGCCACTACACGTGATTCACATGATCGTTGGAGGGGTCGATATTCCTCAAGGACCAGTACTAAAATGCACCAAGGTAACGATTACAATGGAGAAGCGAACTCGGGATCACGTACCTGAAGGAACCTTGTCTTTTAATAATGAGGATGCAAAGGGGATCATACAACCCCACAACGACGCACTAGTAATATCTGTACTTATGAATAAGACTCAAGTTAAATATGTTTTAATTGATCCAGGTAGCTCGGCCAACATTATTCGATCGCGGGTTGTAGAACGGCTCGGCCTGCCAGAACAGGTTGTGCCCGGGGCCCGAGTACTAAACGACTTTAATATGGCATGTGAAACCACCAAAGGCAAAATAACTTTATCGGTAAACTTTGCTGGGACCATCCATGAAATCAAGTTCCATATGATCGAGGGCGATATGAGGTATAATGCCGTATTCGAGAGACCGTGGATCCATAACATGAGAGCAGTGCCCTTGACCCTTCACCGGGTTCTAAAGTTCCTAATGCCAGAAGGAGTCAAAACAGTCTACGGGGAGCAAACCACCGCCAAGGAAATGTTTGTCATCGACGAAGTGATACCGAAGACAAAATAGGAGGTCAAATAGAAACCACAGACACCGGCCTCGACCCAATCAGAAAAGCAAGGGACTGACGAGGATGATGACTACGGGGTTCCTCGATCCATCGTAGTCCCCGATGAATCTGACGCCACAAAGTCAACGGTCGCAGAGCTGGAACAGATCATACCGCTCAAACATCAGCCTGAGCGAAAGGTATACCTGGGCACGGGGCTAGCCCACGAGCTCAGGAGGACAATTTGAAGCATTTGCAAGAAAATTTCAGTATACTGAAGAAACAACACGAAGCTCAACCAAGAGAAATGTGCGTTTGGGGCCGGCTCCGGCAAATTTCTCGGCTTCGTGGTATCTAATCGAGGAATCGAGATTAACCCCAAAAAAATTAAAGCGATCAAGGATATCACAGTAGTAGACAACGTAAAGGCCGTGCAAAGGTTAATAGGGCACAGAGCCGCCCTGGGGCGATACATCTCGAGGTCTTCCGACAAGAGCCATCGGTTTTTTTCATTGCTGAAGAAGAAGAATAACTCCGCATGGACTCCGGAATGCCAACAGGCCTTAGAGGAGCTTAAACGCTACTTGTCGTGCCCGTCGCCGCTTCACACGCCGAGGGTAGACGAATAGCTTTACTTATATCTGGCAGTATCAGAGTTACCAGTAAGTGGAGTCCTAGTCCAAGAAGAACAAGGTACACAATTCCCTATCTATTATGTTAGTCGGACCCTAGGTGAAGCTGTAACTATATATCGTCATATAGAAAAGTCAGCACTCGCTTTGATAAGCGCCTATAGGAAGCTAAAACCATACTTTCGATGTTATCCCATATGTGTTGTAACAACTTATCCTCTTCAAAATATTTTGCATAAACCAGAGCTTTCGGGATGATTGGCCAAATGGTCCGTAGAACTCAGCGAGTACGATATTGAGTATCGACCCCGAACAGCCATCAAGTCTCAAATCTCGGCAGACTTCGTGGCTGACTTCACGCCGGACCTAGTGCTCGAGGTTGAAAGAGAATTATTAGTCAACTCGGGTACGTCTTTGGGGATCTGGACCCTCTTTATGGATGGCACTTCGAACGTAAAGGGGTCCAGACTCGGCATCGTGCTAAAACCACCCAAAGGTAACATGGTTAGATAATCTATTAGAACTGTAAAATTGACTAACAACGAGGCCAAATATGAGGCCATGATTGCAGGTCTTGAACTAGCCAAAGGCTTGGGAGCAGAGGTGATCAATACCAAATGCGACTCCCTCCTCGTGGTGAATCAGGTTAACGGAACCTTTGAAGTTCGAGAGGAACGAATGCAAAGATACTTAGATAAGCTACAAGTAACTCTACACCGATTCAAGAAATGGACTTTGCAGCATGTGCCTCGAGATCCAAATAGTGAAGCTGATGCCCTCGCAAACCTAGGGCCATCAGTCGAAGACAATGAATTCAATTCGGAGGCTGACGTACAACTCATGAGGTCAGTGGTCAAAGAAGGACATGCTGAGATAAACTCCACAAACTTGACCTGGGGTTGGAGAAACAAGTACATAGAGTATTTGAAAAATGGAAAACTTCCCTCAGACCCAAAGGAATTGAGGGCCCTGCGCACGAAGGCAGCCCGATTTAGCCTGTCCAAAAATGGAACCTTACTCAGAAGGATGTTCGACGGTCCGCTAGCAATATGTCTATGAGCGAAAGATACCGAGTATGTTTTGAGGGTAGTCCACGAAGGCACATGCGGGAACCACTCAGGCGCCGAATCACTAGTTTGAAAGGAAATTAGAGCTGGCTATTACTGGGTTGATATGTAAAAAGGTGCAAAGGATTTTGTACAAAAATGTGATAAATGTCAGAGACATGCTCTGATGATTCATCAACCCGGGGAGCTACTGCATTCGGTTTTATCACCAAGGTCGTTCATGAAGTGGGATATGGACATCGTCGGCCCTCTTCCATTCAGGTAAGGCTCAATTTGTTTTATTTATGACTGACTATTTCTCTAAGTGGGTTGAAGCACAGGCCTACCAAAAGTCTAGGGAGAAAGAAGTCAGTGACTTCATTCGGGACCACATCGTATGTCGATTCGAAATACCATCCGAAATTGCATATGACAACATAAAATAGTTTATCAGCAGCAATGTGACCAAATTTCTCGAAGGCCTCAGTATCAAAAGGATCTTATCGACACCTTATCACCCTAGTGGAAATGGGCAAGCCGAATCGACTGACAAAACATAATACAAAAACTTTTTTTCAATCTTTTTCCCTTGAACCTTTTTTGTCCCAATTGGGTTTTTCGGCAAGGTTTTTAACGAGGCAACAATAGATCATGATAACTTAGAATTGAAGGCCGATAACAAATCGGTATCAAAGATTATGTTTATAGTATCCAAGATTTCTCTACAATTTACCTCGAATGCTGGGGGGATTACCCTCGAATATTGAATTGTTCTGGCAAGGAAATTATTTCGAAATGAAAGCGTCTCAATAGGTAGGATTTATTGTCAGGGCCAAACAGCCAAAATGAACAGTGCCCACATAGGTTGCTCGAACCCTGACATAAAATATGTACGCATGTGCGATATTTTTTGACAAGAATAAAGAGAAGTATTTTCCTTGCAACTATCTAATGTCTTGGAAAAGTTTCCACTTTACAACCCCATACTTTCAATCTGTTATGGAAACGAACCCAAGGGCCAATTGCAACCAGAGTTCGGATAGTCACTCCTACACTCGGGGACTACCGTCCATAAAATAAACTCGAACAGATCGAACTATTGAACGTCGAGGGCATAAGACCTCTTAGGCAACCCTCAAAATTTAAAGGCCACGGTCATACCCACTCAGGGACTGTTATCTTAGGTAAGCCTGGATAACTCGGGAAAGCGAGCTCATTGGGCTACACCCGAACTAAAAGACTACGACCAATTTAACACAGTTCGGAGACGCCCAAAATCCGTAACAAATATAGGCCTTCGAAAAATAAAAAATTCTTTCACAACCAATTCTAAAGACTACCCTAGGCCGAATCTTAATCTTAAGATGTTTTTCGGGAAAACACTTTGGTAACACCGAACCTCGATAATGCCTTAACCCAGAAGGGCACTAAACGTAAGGTTTGTTCGAACCCTCGAACACAAGCTTATTATTTTGTTCTAAGGCATTCCAACCTTTGTAAAAACAATAAAACAAAGGAAAAAATTTAGAGCCGAAAAGGGTGGAAAGCCTTGTATATATATACATAAACGAAAGCAAAATACAAAGGCCTAAGGGCTACTTTTACTTTGAGTTTGAGAGATCATTCTCACTCGACTAGAAAGCCTAAGGGCTACCTTATTTCGAGTTCAAGCGAAACCTCATTTGACTATTAAGGCCTAACAGCTACTTTTATTTTCGAGTCCGAGAAATCACTCTCACTCGGCTATCAAACTTTAGGATTACCTTAATTCAAGTTCAAATAAATGATCTCACTTCGCACAAAACGGCCTCAATTCAAATTTGAGCTTTCGATCGAGGACTATCAATCAGAAATAGTCATGGACAGTACTTGCCGTCGGTCCTTACCATATCAAAGATTCGAATGCGACCCCATTATTTAATGCTAAGGCACTTTGACCTTTGTATAAATTAATGAAACGAAACAGATTCGGAGACCATGGAAGGAAAAAAATTATACAAAAGCCTTTTTACAAGGGCCATGTGGCCCGATCAAGAATTCTTTACAAAGACCGATCGGCCTCAACATAAAAGCAAAAATTACAAAACCTAAGCAGCATGGCCCTTATCGGAGGAAGCGTCTTCGCCATCGAAGTCTTCTCCACCAGACTCGCTCAAACTCTCGGAGTCTTCCTTAGGAAAAGCCAGTTTTCGAGCCTTTGTTTCTTCTTCTCTGGCAATCTCGATTTCAGTAGATATATCGAAACCCTAAACACGGGTTCCCTTGAGGGCCTCCCTTAGAGCTTGCCACTTCTCATGATCTAACATGCTCCTGGCCTGTGCATGTGTAGCTTCGACATCGACCTTGTATTGGTTCGCATTGGCTTGGGCCTTGGTGTTTGCCACTGCCGCCTCAAATCTGGCAACTTCGAGCTCTTTGGCCAAGTTGGTTAAATTGGACTGAAGCTCCTCAATTTTCTTTAATTGTACCGAGGCATTCTCCCTTGCATCCCGAAGCTGAGACTCGACCGACTCCAGAACTTCTTGGACGGCCTCCTTTTTTAAGGTAAGAATTCCATACACCCCTTGAACTTTTCAATTTCGGCTCATATTCATCTATTTGTCTTTGAAGGTCCTTGATTTGTTCGAGCCACTGTCGAACCTGCAGAATCGGATCATTAGTTGTTATCTCCAACTCATCCTCACTATCATAAAGCATTTGGAATACCTGCTCGGCTATCTCAGCATGCTCATCTCAAGCCGTCACCAAATCTGCCTGATGCTTCTCATTGAGAAGTTTATAGGTATTTCTTTTCTCAGTGAGGCCCCAAACCTCAGCCTTGCCCTCCTCTCAGATTCGAAGGAAGGCCCTATGATGCAGAACCGAAGCCTACAAGTGAGGGAGAAAATGTTAGAATTATGTACAATTCAAAGTTTTTAAAAAGATAATGGAATGGCCCTCGATCTTACAGAGCGTGCTGAGTCTCGTTGAACAAACAAGCGGCTCCCACCACATCCATTGTGGCTTGGTCCTCTTTGGTCACCAAGCATGTCAGGTAGCTAGCGATCCCCATAGGGGGGGGGGGAGAACACCAGAGCATCCTCCGAGACAGTAAGCATTATGGTACATTTACGATCGGGGTTAGCATTGGGGGCCAGGAACTGGTCCACTAGTTTCGGGCTCGATGAAGGCCCAGCAACATCCGATGACGGTGTCTTCTTCGGCACTGGTAAGTCACCAAAATCGGTGTTATCACCCGAAGCTTCATTATCACCCAAAGCTTCAAACTCCACCTCATCCAGGAAGGTGTAGATGTCAACTGGCCCCTGAAGACCCTCGCAAGGGCGACCTGCCAAGTTAGTA